ACTCATATATACAACACCAATAAATCTCAGGTCATTTGTAAGTGTCTCAAACTTTGATCTTACAAATGTGTGAGTGAAGTGAACGCAAAAAGAAATATTGGCAATCATACTAATATATCTATGTCAGTAATTAATATGATTTATGTTTTTTTAGACAAAAGACACTATGTAACAAACAAAAAAAATTAATTAAAAGACATACCAATTCGAAGATCACTACAAAAGCAACATATAAAGCATACAAGTGCGGATAGAAAATATATTTGAACCGAACACCTATTCCACGAATAAAAACACTATAGAAAAATATAATTGAATCTATAAATGTTTAAACATGTACAATTAGAAAAATTAGAACACATTGGTGGTTAGAGACAAAGAGAGTTTAAAGAAAAAAAATGAACACTACATTAGAAGCGTTCAATTTGACTCCATTCTACCAATAAGCCAAAGTTTTCGACTTCAAGAAATTGTGAGTGATTCAATATTGCATTGTCAACCATTTGTCATAGGAATTAAATATTCCAATATCTGCTAACAAAAAGAGAGTATAAACATTAGCAAATTCTCATGTGTATGCAAATGGCATTTGCTACTTGCTAGCAAGCAAACATAGATCCACCCAAAAAAGCAAAGACTGGTCAGCATATCTATATAATAAACCAACATATTTTAATCCCAAATAGACTTATGTTCAAAACTTCCATAGTAATAAAATAGACTTCTGACCACTTACCGCTAAAAAATTTAAGATAGTACAATAAACAAAATTAATACTCATATTTTCTTAGAGGTACACCCAAGAAACCTGTTTAATTGAATAAAAACAAAGTTGCAAATAATCTAGACCCATGTGAAATTCTCAATCTTAAACTGAAAAATGAAATTTTCTCTCAAACTTCTATGGTTCTCCATCAAATAACATTGCGTTGGGGTCTTGATTCTATGCCACCATGCAATAAATCACTAACAAACCAGTACTAAAACCAACTAAATAATTTAAAAACCAGTAATGAGGGATGCTGCATATTGGCCAACCAAATTCATCTAAACCAACCAAATTCATCTAAACCAACAGAAGCATCTTACTACAACATGAATAATCTTAGATTCATTGTAAGGATGCTGCATCTGTTGGCCAAGGAGGCTAATGAAATCTTTCATTCCTAACCCTTACTAGATAGGGCATTTAATTGAAGTACCTGTGCTGGATGATATACTTTGAATTATCAGATAACATTCTATGGTAATATGATCGCTAGCTAATGTTTCCTAAATCGGTTAGCAAACTAAAAAACTTCACCAATTATTGCATAAGCAAGCATGTGGTCATAAGGTCCTCCGTGCACCACGATGAGGTAAACTTCCTAGAAATCCACCAATTGAATAACATCGGGTTGAGGTCAGTATTTTTCTTAGGCATTTTGCCAAACACTTCATGTGCATTATGAATGGATGGGGAAAGAGAGAGACAGAAATAGAGTGAGAGGGGTGATTTGGTGGCGCTGGTGGATGTCTACCAAACTATAAGTCTTAAAAGCTTCTCGAATTAATGCAACCATCAACCACAAAGCTAAACCAAAATGCTCTGGAAGGCATCAACCAACAATAAAGCATCAGATATCTTACACCCTACATCATACATGTTTTGCAGCCCAATATTCTAGGCAGAGCATCTTTATGTTTTCCTAGAAATTCAAGCCCAATGCATCCTTTAAAATGCTCTGGAAGGCATCAAAAGATGTTTTTACGGTAACAAAAATGAACCTTAAAGTGCATGGTAATCCAACAATCCTTTGGCCCCCCTTTTCATTGCAAGCAAATTATACATCCACACACCCACACATATGAAGGTCAGCAACCACCTTCGCAACTGCCTTGGGAGGGTAGTCTCAAATTTTACTAAATCTTCACATCGGAAAGATCCAAAAATCTGTTTCCTTTCTGTCTTTCGCTTTTAATCTAATCACTTTCAAAAGAGAATAGTGGACCATTTTGGTCCTTAAACCCCAAGGAAAGGCCGCCAATTAGTGTCTCTATCAGCGCTGGAGTTTTGACTGATCAACATGACAGCTTCAAACAAAAAACCCAAGTCAAAAACACAATAATGCAAGTTCATCTACTCACATTGGCTTCACAGAAATAGAATTGGAAGGAAAACACAGACTGAGAGAGCATTTAAGCTTTGAAAATTGAGAGATGAAACTCACCTACTCGGTGAGCATTTAAACTTTTGCTTCATCTACCTGCTTTTGCTTCACGTGAGCTCATCTCAGAGCTTGCAGGCTACCGGAGAGAGAGAAAGGAGTGGCGGAAAAGAAGGTAAAAAAAATTAAAAGATGGGTAAAGGAGGATGGGATGGAGAGGTCTCGTAGAGAGGGAGGAGGCTGACAGTTGCGTGTGTCACGCGTCCGTGTACACGGAGTAACGCTAAGAGGGATGTGATTGGTGCGATAAGATGATTTTGTAGAAAAAAATATGTTTAATATAAAAATTTAAATTTTGTTCCATTTTATTATATAGATATAGATGTATATATTAATTTTATACAAAAAATATAATGATAAAATATATATTTATATATATATTTTAAAAAATTTTAAAATGTAAATTTAATAAATAATAAAAATAAAAAATAAAAAAAATTAAATTAATTTTTTTTTCCATCATAACTAGAGGTAAAAGTTTTCGATTCTATACGATGGCACGACTCGAACTCAACATAAATTTTATGATACAAACTTGATTATAATTCGATACGAACTTGATATGTAAACGAGAAATATAAAAGGTTCATATTCAGTTCAATCAATCAACTCACATGAAAATAAACAGGTCAACATGAATACGAATACGAACACGATACGAAAATAAACATGTCAATTCACAACTCGATGCGACATAATTAATTAAATGAGTTGAGTTAGGTGTGACTAATATTTAACACAAATCCGTAATAATTCAACACAAATCTGACACGACACGATTAGATTGTCATCCCTAATTTTAGCTAGTAAAAAAAAAAAATTAGTCATTTTTATTTTTCATTCATCCAACCAAATCTAAAGAAATGAAAGTATATCATTCTTACTTTCCTTCTTTGAAAGATAGAAAATGTACCTCTCATACTTTCTATTCTTTATACTTTATGTCTTTCCTATCAAACGAAGTATCAGAGCATTCAGGTCAATTTATGTTTATTTTAACTAATCTCTTTCTTAATTTGATCAATGACAAACCATTAATATCGGGATTAGGGTGTTTATAGGGGATAAATATCTCATGACGTAAATCTAATAGATTGTTAATATTCAAACTCAGAACGTATAATTTTACCGTTCACCCTATCACCATTTGAATTATTCCTTAAAATTCAAAGAGATCTCCCTTGTTGGTATTTAAAAAAAGAGAGAATAAACAAATTCAGTACAACAAACTTTTTTATTGTCAAACTGAATTATCACACACATATATGAGGTGCAGTTTTGAACCTTGCGTCTAATATTGAATAACAATTAACAAGCAATCATTTCTTGTTTAAAGAAACTATGAAATATCAAAAGTCAAATATTGATTCTGTAATATTTATATTTTAAATATATAATTTAAAATTAAAATGATAAGAGAGGTAGGTATAAATTAATAAAATTATTTGACATTAGTGAGTGTGTTGATTGAGTTTGTCTCACATTGAGGGTCCTGCAGAGAAGTTGATATTTTTGGGTGAAAAAAAATTTGGGATAAATTTTGTATTATTAGATTAAAATAGATGAATATTAGATCAATCTTGACCATTTGTTATGTTTTTATATGTTGAAAATTCATGACCTAATTTTAAATAAATCAAGGCCCACTGTAGAAATAGACCACTAAGATGGCTGCCTAGTGCGGCAAGGGTAACAAAAATATAGGGTCCGAAATGTATTTTTTTTTTTAAAAGTTGTTTTAAAAAAAATTTGTCCCAATTTTAATCTTATTTTTTGACCTATTTTCTTTTAAATCATATAAAAAACATTCCATTTCTCAGTACAATACTTCGGATATGTTGCATATTCCCGAGTTATGTGAGCATAGAGCTAACAAATATATCACCCTTAGACATTTTATTCAAGATCACATTGAGGATGGTTGGATTCAACTTGATGAAATCTTATCCAGGTCTCAATATCTACCGCTGCATTGTCGAATCTAATTTTTTTTAAATTTATATATATTTTAATACTTTGATCATTGTTTAGTACATTCTTTATTATATGGGTTGAATTTTTTTTTTTTTTTTGCTTGATTATGTTTTACCATGCACAAAATTATTAGAAAGCTTGTGTTGAATAGCACAAAACAAGCAAATTCCTCGGTTATGTTTACACTTAGACGTTTCGACATTGAGGATGGTTGGATTCAACTTGACGAGCTCTTAATCCAAAGATATTTTAAGTGGTAACAGATATAAGTTGAAAATTTAGATGTTTTGAGTTTAAATTTTGACAACTTTTTGAGGTCTGAGATTTATCCCTTTATGAATATCTTAATCCCGGTATGGATGATCTATCTCTTAATCTCTGAACTAAAAAAAGCAGAAATCTTATCCAATTCTCAACATCTACCGCTGCACCAGAGCCTAATGTTTTTTAAGTACACATATTTTAATACTATTAGAGATTCAATTATCTTCTATAATTTTTTTTAATTGAAAAATTATTAAAAAAATATTATTTAGACTTAATTTATTAATCTTATTTATTGATATAATACTTTATAACTATTGAATTAATTGCGAGTCTTAACTAATAATAGAGTCTCCTGTCCCTCACAAAGAATAATTAGATAAATGGATTAAATTAACAAATTAAATTGAATTAACGTTGCTCAATGCAAATCCAGAAACAACATAATTTTAAATTATAAGGTTTGAAAGAATCACCGACACACAACATTACTTTTAGGATTTTCTTTCTCCTTCCTTTGAAGTATGAGAACACCATAGAAGAACTGAAAAACATTCAATTCCACCAGCAGTCTAGCAAAAATGGATCCTCAGGTGTAAATGTGCTCATTTGTGACACCTCCACTGAACTATCAACCACCTTCTTCCTCCTCTTCTCTCCACTTTCGGACGACGACAAACACGATGGAGACTCCGGTGACCGCCGCCGTGGCGCCACCTTCACTGGCTCCGAAATCTTGCCTCCGATCAGATGTGGAAAATTAAGCAAAGCCCGAGAGCCACGCAGTTTAAAAGCTGCTCGGTCATAAGCCAATGCAGCATCCTCAGGCGTCTCGTACGTCCCAAGCCATACTCTCGTCCCTTTCTTCGCCGGACTCCTTATCTCCGCAGCAAACGTTCCCCAAGGTCGCCGCCTCACGCCTCTATACCTCGTCCATTGTGGTGGCGCGTGACTGGAACTCGCCACTACCAACTCTTCTACCATTTCCGGGTAATGATTTACATTAAACTGCATTTCTTTTTCTACCCAACTCCCAGGTAAAAGTTCACTGCTAAATCTTGAAATCGGGTCATCAACCGGTGCAGTATTGCTTGAACTTGTCGTCGAAAAATCATCGGAAAACTCAGAATCATTGAGAAGATGGTCTCTTATAGATTCAAGAACGGCGAAGTCAGATTGAGAAATGCTTTCTGTGTTCATATCTGAATCAGAGTTTGTGGGCACTGATGAAACCTAATGAGGTGAGACTTGAGAGGTTCTATATATATATATATATGAGCTTTCATGCACTCACTTCTCAGGTGATTGGATCTTCTTGAATTAGTTTCCTTGAAGTTTCACTGGTCATTGGTTTAGGTATTTTAATCTGTATCCTCCAAAAGAAAAGGTGTGGAATTTAATCACGTGGTGTTACTATAATCAGAGAAAGAAAACACGTGGTACTGTTGTAATTATAAATTATAACTAAGAAAAGTAAGACTTGACGAGCTCCATAGAAATTTGATGGTACTTAATTTTTTTTTAACAGCGAAAAATATTCGATTTAGTTTACCTCCATCTCAATTAATTTTTTTTTGATTTGGTCAAAGACAAACCATTTAAATCAGAACTAAGAGATTTATGAGAGATAAATCTTTCATAACTTGATTTCAAAGAGTTGATAAGATTTAAATTCAAAATATCTAAATTTACTTAAAGGGATTCTCGTACGAAGAAAGAGAAAGAATTATTACTAATGCTACCTTATAACTACACAGACTAATACTAATTAACCTAGTTTATGTTAATAGTCACCTCGAGCAACAATGTTGGACAATTTAGTAGCCACTTGTCCTCTATGGTAGGACCATAGTTTACCATATCTTTGGAAGATTTTGAACTTGCTATTTTTCTTCACTAATGAAGAACCATCCCGACAAAGGGCATTAGTCGGAAAAATGTTTACTGATCTTGAATATGCTTTCGCTCAATTCGGTTGTTATAAGTCAAGTTTGATCTCGATTTGGAGTTCATTATCGAGTTTAGATTCTTGTTTTAGTGTGGGTCGATAGAAATTTTTGTGCTATCGAGCTGAAATCAAATCTAATTTTCAAATAAAATGTTTTAAAATCAAACCCTAGATATCAATAGTGAGTCCTAAAATAATTGATTTCTCAATAATTTTTTTCAAAAAATAGTATATAATAAACCACAAAATTAAATCCTATCTGAGAGGTTGTTCATATTTGGTAGGAGTGGGGGTTAATCAACTTTTGAATAGTTGTTGTGCAATAAAATCCAAATTATTTAGTTATGGATAGGAACTTATTCAAAGTGATTCGAGGCTATTTGACCCGAGCCTCACTTTGTTTAGATTTGACTCATTTATAAATTTTTTTTTATAAATTTTATTAAATTCGATTCTTTTAATAATTTGAACGAGCCTAAACAATCCATTAGGCAGAACACGAAATGCACAAATTATTCAACAACCCTAGTCTTGACCACTTGTCATTTAGACTCATGTTTACAATGTAACACACATCTCAATAACACTAAACACATAATTTTATTGTTGTTCTAAGAACCGTCGCAACTACAAGTTATTTGTACTTTCTGATACATCACACTTAAATATTAGATGTATACAAGCACCTCATAAACCATGCTTATAATCTTCTTGTTTAGCTTCAAATGTGGAAACCACTAGTTTACAAAGTGCTTACTCCTGCAAAGGAGATTGTACTGTCATGCATTAATTTACAAAAGTTTTATATAATTCTAAATTATTCATCTGACAAATTCAATATTCGTCTAATAAAATAAATATATTCAATATGGCTGGTCAGACAGACCCACGTATGCTATGTTCCCCATGTGTGTCACGGCTAGCCATAAACTAACTAATATAATAAAGAAGAAGACGAGATTGTATTTGTTGAAGAAAATCTTAGTACATTAAGATTCCATCGTGATTAAATACTGGAGGAAGGAGTAGAGAGCTTTCATCTCTCTCTCTCTCTCTCTCCTCTTATTTAAGAACAAGTCAAAAAAGAGAAAACCAGCAAATTTGTTTATATTAAACTTTGGTATGGTTAAATTGAATTATTACGCATTCTTTATATTAAACTTGGTCAAATCGAATTATTACATAGTTGTAGTCGCCATGTTTTTTGTTTTATAAGGAATTTGTCCCTTTTTAGGTGCATGAGGTAATGACTAGGAGGTCAATTTCGACAGATATTTTTAGTATTTAGATCAAGTTTTGGTAAAAAAAAAAAAAAAAAAAAAATCCTCAACCTGTTTAGTTGGAGCAATACTTGAGTTTTTGTATCAACATTTTTTTTTTTTGGAATTTGACCCAAACACATTTTAATACACTAATTTGGGTTCTACTCAAATTAACCCGGATTTAAATGGGTTAGCATGTGAGAAACAAATTAGCAGTGTTTTGAAACCCGACCCGGCCCCGCGGGTTGACCCAGTGAACTGTAGCCTGAGTCGGGCCAGTTTAGTTATTGGATCGTTTGAACAAAGGAATCGGACAAAACCCGATGAACCGGCCAGTTTAGTAACAAACCCGCTGAACTGGACGGTTTAAAGCAAATCGGACGAGTTGCTTCAAATACTATAAATACTAGGTTTTGAAGTTATTTGGGCATTTTTTGCCCTAATCGTTTTGCGCCCAGCCACCACCCATCTCCTGTCTTTTGCTCTGTGCCTCTTTCTCTCTCTTGTCTAAGGCAGTCGATCTTGTCTGATCTGCCATCTTAATGAGACCTTCGAGTTTGAGGCGAGAATCTTTGTTGATGTTGAGGCGGTGGAACACTCAAAGCCTCTCTCGAACTCGAACTCGAAGCCACTGTAGAACTCGAAGCCGAAGCCATTGTCGAACTCGAAGCCTTAAGCCTTGGGTAGCTGATGAACTCCAATCCAAAGAGAAATTGGGTAGCTGATGAACTCAAAATTTTTCTTAATTAGATCCCAGAGCCTGCACTCCTCAAGGTATTCAAGCTGGTCTTCTTTAAGGTAGAGGGTAATCTTAGTGCCTCTGCCCAACAACTCACCCGATGTGTCTCTAGTTACAGTGAATGACCCACCAGCTTGGGACTCCCATAATTGTACATCCCTCTCAATAGGTACATCTCTTTCTTTGTAATTTCTTTGTTATTTTAGTATTGATTGTATTGTAGATTAACTTGATAAATTAGTTGATGATACTTAATATTGTATATGAAATTAAGGGAATGGGTTTTGGCTTAATTGTTACTGATTTATCTATTTGACATATGAAATTGGGTTTTGGCATATGACATATGAAATTGAGATTAATTGAGTTTTGGCATATGACATATGAAATTGGGATTAACTGAGTTTTGACATATGAAATTGCGATTTTAATCTGTTTGATTAAGAGTTAAGTGGAGGTGAAATCTTACTGCCTAATTGAGCATGAGTTTTGGCTTAATTGTAACTGATTTATCTATTTGATTGAGAATCTATTTGGTGATTTTGAGATTTTTGTTTGATCTAAAATATATTAAGCATACAATTTTTATAATTTTTGTGATTTTAAGCATATTTATTATTATTAATAATATTTATTTATTTATTTATTTTATTATCGGTTCGACCAGTGACTCAACGGTTGAATCAGTGATCCACTAACCCAGTCCCTTTACCGGATTGACGTCTGGCCGGATTTTAAAACTTTGCAAATTAGTACACCCTTATAATAATTTTTTTTTTTTTTAGTCAAGCATGTAAAGAAACACACACCACATCAAACAATTGTTGAAGTGACACAACGTTTATATCATTGTTGGGGATGGTCAAGACCAAGAATTGTGAGTATTATAAAAATGGAGAAAAACCACCGCATGGGATTATTTGCAATTTAAAAGAAGGGAGAAAAACCACCGGCCCATGTGTCATAGATCGAGTCCAAGTTCCGGGTCATGGATTCGACCCTAAGTAGTGTTGTTCTTTGTATTTTTTAAAAGGTTAATTAGAGGTCGGTCCACAGTTGTGGATAGAGGTGTCAATGGGTTGGATTAACCACCATGACTGATTATCTTGCCTAAAAATCGGTCCGAAATTCGATATATTCAAAAGTTAACCTGTTTTAGTCCGTGTCTACTATCCTTCAAAAGAGGGTTTGGAGACATTACTCGACCCATTAGCACACTCGTAAAATCCGTTAAAACTAGACCCAAGAATACGTCCGTCCACTCATTTTGTTTAGAAAAAAATTGATCATTGAAAGTTAGGTGACATATTTCCCTTAAAAAAAAGTTATTTACTTAAATACTAAGTTGAGTAATCTAAGATATTATTCATTATTTATTTTTTGTTTATTTTAACTCTACTTTTAATTAAAAAAATATAATTTACAAAAAATACTAAGTTGGAAAATTTTTAAATGAAGATGTATAAATATAAATAAAAAAGGTTTGTCTAGTGAGTGGTGGGTTAGGCTACAGGTAGCTTTTTTCTGCCCAAAGCCTAGCTCAATAATTCACCTGAATAAAGATTTAGGCCTATCCTACTCAGGCTTAGCCCAAAAAAATTTCCACCGGCTTAGCCTTGGCCGGACCATGGACACCCATATTTGTGGACTTCTAAGACAATTAGTTCACGTGCATACTTTTTTTGGCTTAAAGGATAATTAAATGTATAATGACTAATTCATCCTTAATGGTATAAATAATTATATTATAAAATAGATAGTAACAATGAGACTATAACAACAACATATTACAGCTATATTTAGATAGTAATAGTTACAACGATAGTGAATTTTTATTGTCACTATCAAATGCTATTCTTTTGGGTAATCTAAGACAACTGCGGTCACAATTACTATTTTATCTTTAATGACATGATTAACGATATTACAGAATGGACAATTGTAGTGATAGTAATGAAGTGACAATCTAATGACACAGTGACAAATGTCACTGTCCAAATTCTACGGAACGAAACAGTGATAGTGATAGTGACAACGAATTTTTATTGTTTCTGTCCGTTATTATTATCCAAATTCTACGTGACATTTATCAAATTTTCGTTCATGCATTTTATCAAACACCATTTTAGCATAACATATAAGCTGAAGGTCCAACTATCTCTTTCTTTGTATGTAACTCTCCTTAGCTCACCGCCAAACCACAACCATGTTCAAAAAGCTTCAACTTCTACAAGCTGAGCTATAATCGCCA